CTGCGCCTGATTCAACACATTCTTGTGGTTCTGGTTGATGTAGGTACATGCGACTGGTGATGTCTGCAGGGATGTATGGGGGCCCTTGGGATAGTGTAAGCCCGACGATACTCGTATTGATGCTTGTTGCGTTCTGCAGCAATGCGTCTCTGCGATTATTGTTTGGTGGTACGCGTTTCTGCGTCTTGGTTTGACTCATACCTAAGTAGCTTTGCCCAAGACAGGTCCCTTTATTACGGGGCTGCAGACTGTCTGACCTCCATAATGTTTTATACAACAACATAATAATATATCTCTGTAACTTTCCCACCTTTGAATGATTGAAGGCAACTTGTTGGTGGGTAAGACAAACATGATCGGAAATGCATTTACTCAACGTCAGTTACACAAATTCTTTCTGATGGCAAATGATTACTAACATCTTATAATTGCCTTCTGGCTATATCTGCCGTTGTATTGGTTGGTGGAGCATATGTGTCGACTTCATGCGGGTGGTAGCTGGAAGGAGGATCTGAGGAGACTCTCAAGGCTGCGGCCGAAATCCGCACAACGCGAGAGCCCATTCTCTTGTGGTGAGCAGTAGATTCATGACACACTCTACGGCTAGTAGCCGTGCTGATCATGCAATTGGTGCTGATGCCATACACTTACATCACGTCTGGAGGAGCGGCAGTCTGGCAGGTGGTAGCGCTTACGGAGGGTTTACGGCCAGTGTGGCTATTTGCATAAACCGTGTGGCATACATTTACTCTGGCTAGATTTGTTCGTATTCTGTATGGCGTTTACACACAATGACATGCGTGACTTCGGTCGATGTTTATGCTTACGCACTACCAAGGCACCAAGCCTCTTTTACTGATTCGCCAGTTACTTTGTTGTGAACTACGGTCCAGTTCCCGAATGAGCGTTCCCTACAGGGGGATGGCATCGAAATGGTTGGCGCTCACCGCGCACGGCGTGTGCCTCCCCCACATTTTTAAAATAAATGTGGGAGAGCGAAACCATTGTATCCGATATTTTTGCATAAATACATACTGTGAGCCTTTTCCAAGCGGGAAGGGATAAATAAAAATAAATTAATAATGTAAACTTGATACAAAATGAATAGGGACGTTTTATGTTCTTAACCTATCTCGAGCCCTGTCTTCGTGAACGAGGTTCACTTAGCTTAAAAGCTTAAGCTTTCAACTGTTCTAGTGAACATTCATTCTACCAAAAGACACCTAAAAAAACTACGTCACTTAACAAACACAACGTCTATAAGGATCCTAACTAAGATGATCACGCCAAAAGTGTTACAAACAGCCTATTATTAAACCTTTAAAAATAGCAAACGTTTTTCCCCCGAAGGGATAAAAACGATATATTTCATGTCTTGCCTAGGCTTGACCTGTGAGATTACATCCTTCAATTTATCCCTTGATACATACGTGTCATAGCTTCCCGTGCCGTCTAGCCGCGCTCTATACTCGCTCCCCGTACCCTTCCAGGGGTGCGCGGGCGGCAAGAGCGCGGTGTTCCTCAGTACCTTGATATTAGAGTCGTCAAGGGCTTACCTGGTCAAGCCTAGGCAAGACATGAAATATATCGTTTTTATCCCTTCGGGGGAAAAACGTTTGCTATTTCATGGTCTGTGCCGTCGGCTTGACCTGTGAGAAATCTTTGGATTCTGACGACACGGGGATAGCGTACTGTGAAAGATATTTATATAGTGTTCTGTTTCAAATGTGAATAAGAGGATAAAATATTTGTAAGTACTTGTATTTTAAAATAAACCGAGAAAAAAGAAAAAAACTTAGTGTTTATTAGCCAAATATAAAAATCAACCAAACAATTAATCAGACAAGTAAGTAATTATAATTAAACAAAATTTATCATACAGTAGTGAAGCTAGTATTGACAAAACTTAAGTCATTAGAATCATCATCTTTGGAAGGAATACTGATTATATCTTTAAAATAATGTCTCACTACATTTCTCTCGCTTTTCCAGTTACCATTTCTTAGTATTATATCTATTGGGACGTCATCCCTCTTTCTAGAAGAAGCAACAGCGGACCTAATACTACCCGGTGAAAAATTTATGTGTAATTCTGAAAAAGCAGTTTTTATCCATCCAGCTATAACTGCTTTAGATGCAGCTGCTACTCGACCTCTAGATGTAATAAACAAAGAATTTATCTTTTTTTCGCCCGCGTTTCTTCTCGAATCTGAAGCGGCAAGATGAACTTTTACCCATCGGACTGGATCAAGTTTCTCGTTTGGGACTTGTAAAAGCCTCCAAGCGGATTGTCTGTATGACCGGTTATCGGTTTTTGACCCAAACTCCGGCCAAAATGTAACAGAAGATTCATCTATTGCCATGCTATTTTCATCAATATTAAGTAAAGTGAGGTCATGGATCCTTCTCCCAGATGCCAGCAATAATAATAGAGCCAGATGTCGCGATACTTGAAAAATACTATCTTCTTGTATTTGAATGTTCTCTAGCCATTCAATCAGTAGCTTAACATCCCAAATTTGCCTGTTAAGTGTAGGTGGCTTTGATAATTCAATGGCCTTGATAATTTGTTTAATTACCGAGCTGTCTGTAATAGAATCCCTATTGACTGGGTCAGCAAAGGTAGCAATGACAGATTTATGTAGCTTTATAGTGCTAGGTGAAAGCTTCTTTACTCTGTATAGAAAACTTAAATGTTGTGCTACTGAAGCTGCATCTGGCTTGTTGGGGTTGAGACCACGAAGTTGACATCTTTCTACCCATGTTTTCCACGGTGCTCGGTATGTTTTAAGCGACGAATTACGCCATGCTTTTTGTATGAGATGACAGTCTTCTTCTGACCAGTTCTTTGTTAAAATCGACCACCCCGTACCTTCCAAGCCTCCAAACACAGTTTTCGGGCTTTCGTTAAATTTGTTTGAGGTGTTAGATCTTTCAGGTGATGGTGGAGGTTTCGGATTTGAAATGGGTGATCTATCGCACGTGATCGTAGATCCGACCTCCAAAATACCCTTTCCCAGCGTGGAACAATCAGAATGTATGTACCTCTGGCTTGATTCAGATGGGCTAGCACTCGAGGAATTAGGGACGGTGGTGGAAAAATCCATGCTAACTTGAACACCCATCTCTTGCTGAAAGCATCTATGAACAAAGCTTCTTTGTCCTGTGCATCCCGGGATACATAAACCGGGACTACTTTTGAATTGCTTGATGCAAACAGGTCCACGTCGGGAATGCCCCACTTCTGAAAAATGCGACTGCAAATTTTTGTTGACAGATGCCAGTCTGATAGATGAATCTGCCGAGACAAGCTGTCGGCCACATCGTTGTATATCCCCGGTATATATTGGGGACAGATTTCCGCATGTAACCTCTTGGCCTTTATCAGCACCTGAGAGACCAGCTCTGTCAGCTGTGGCGATCTTGTTCCACCCTGATTCTTTATGTATGCTATTACGGTTCGATTGTCTGACTGTATGACAACTCTTTTGTTTTTTATTGAATCTTTCTCGGAACGAATTGCTAGAATTACTGCAAATAGTTCTTTCTTGTTGATATGCCACCGAGATTGGCAAATGTCCCAGATACCGCTGATGTGCTTTTCGTTTATCTGCGCTCCCCATCCTTTGTCTGAGGCATCTGATGTAATGAAAATGGTTTCGGAGGACCTGAAAAGAGTGTCTTTCTCTTCCAGATTTTGAGTCCACCACTGGCATTGTTGGAATGCTTTTCTTGGAGTGGGAAACTTCTTCCGGGCTAACCCTTCTGGCAAAATGTTGGCTGCTCTTTGTATCTCCCTGGAGTGAAGTCTTCCCAAGGGTATTACAAAGGAAGCAAAGTTTAGTTTTCCTAGCAGGCTTTTTTGCGGATTGCCAACTCCATCTTTGACTTGTTAGGATCTTGTTGAGATCTTTTCTCAGGGAAGATATTTTCTTTTTCGGGAGCGCTTTTGTATTGCGGATTGTGTCCCATTCTATTCCTAGATACTCGATTCGCTGGGATGGGCTCTGTAGAGATTTCTCCACATTGATTATCCAACCTAGTTTGACAAGAAACTGTATTGTCATTTTGGCGTCGTTTTGCACTTTCACTGGATCTTGGTTGGCAAGCAAGAAGTCGTCGAGGTACACAATAACTCTTATGTTCATCTGTCTTAATCGTGATGCTATCCAATTTGACACTCTTGCAAAGGTTAGAGGTGCCGTTGATAGACCGAACGGTAGGCATGTGAATTGTAGAACCTTGCTTTGGTAAACTATTGACAGGAATCTTCGATGACGATTGGTTATTGGGATGTGAAAGTATGCTTGAGAAATGTCTATTTTCATGAGAAAATCTCCTTTTTGTAAGAAATGAGGTACTTTGAAATGGTTTAACAACCTGAATTTCTTCGGGGTAAGGTATCTGTTTAGGCCTTTCAGATTGATTATCGGTCGTACTTTGCCGTTGTGTTTTGGAACTGGAAACATAGTTGACAAGAAGCCTGTCTGAATCGAGGAATTTTCTATTACCTTCTGCTGTATTAGGGTCCGGATCTCTGAATCTAAATTTTTTGTTTCGAACTTTGTAAGTATCTTCGGGTGAAAAGGCATTAGCGGGGGCTTTTTGACAAAGGGGATAGTGTATCCTTTTATTATTTGTAAGATGCTTAATGGTGCACCCTCTCTTTTCCAGACCTCTACAAATTGCAAGAGTCGCCCCCCGCTGAAAACGTCATTCATTCCTATTTCTTTTTGACGTATAATTTTTAGAAGACTTGCCACGGGGAGAGGGTTGGCTTTGATCTTTATTTCTGGTGTTGAACGGACGCTTGAAGGTTTCGTACGTTTTATTGGTATTTGATTTTCGCGGTCGATTGAATGATTTCGACGTTTTTGAGATTTTATAAGTTGGTCTAGTTTGACGTGCGGGTGGTGTGGCATTGTAGTTTTTAGGTTGCAAGGGTTTTCTATAGGGGATCCGAAAAAACGTTTGGAGAGGTGGCTGTTTCAGTAGTTCTGCTAGTCGTGTTTCGCAAAAAAAGATGGGTGGTTGACGGGGGGAATTGCACGAAGAAGGGCTGCTTGATATTCTTCTTTTGGAAGGAACCCATTCCTTCTTTGTTCGATAATCTCTGCTCTTCTCCCGCACACGTACTGAAGCAGATCATTCGAAAGAGATTTGAAAGATGTATCCGTCGATAAGATATTTTTCAAGTCTTGTTTCATAGCTGGGTGTTTGATAGCTAGATCTTTCAGCGTGTTAGTTAGTGCCTCCCGTTGAAGCAGAAGACCATGGGAAATTGTGCCCAGAGTGTAGTCCATTCGAACCAATTGATCTTGATTGGAAGGGGGTCCATAGGTCGTGAGGATAGGGTTGACCTTTAAAGGACCGAAGACCGGGCTAGCATGTAATTTCTTCTGAACCTCAGCATATCGAATCTGACAAAATGATATATCGCCTAAACGTTGACACTCAATACCCTGTGTGGCAATGTGCTGGCTCGGGGTTGGTATTAGAGGTTCTTGTTGTCTTGTAGTAGGTGTCCAGTCGAAGTCTTCATTTACTAAAGATGTTGAAGGTTCGCAAGGCTTTGGTGATGACACTGAAAGCTGAGGGGCATTTTCCTCATCTTCTGATGGCTCTGGGGAAGTTGAGACCTTCTCCGAGCCCGAATACGAGTGATCTTCTGGTTGAAAACTCTTAATAAATTGTTCCAGCATATTTTCCAATTTACGCTGGCCTTGTTCCAATTTGTCCAGTCGACTTGGCTTTTTGGACCTACTAGATGAAGATCTTGTAGAAGGAACTGATATTTCATCCTCAGATTGTTCAGATTGCGCTGCCAGTTCCCTATTTGCCTCCTCTCTGCTTTTGAGGAGTGGTCTCATGTCAGAGATGGAGGCTATTATTAGTTCATTCTGGACTGCTGAACCGCGTACTCTTGCCGCCAGAGACATTGGATGTATAATAAGGCCCACACACAGTGGCCATTTCAACAGTTTTAATTTTATATCTCTATAAGTTTTCTCCTTTAGCGATATGCACTCAGGAGAAAAAGCTCTGGCGAGTCCAACGGTGGGAATGGCAAATCTAATTTTGTTAAGAATTTGGGGATCAAATTCGTTTCCCAATAAGTCTTCCTTATCAAGGACTCTAATTTTCCATTCTTTCCAACCCAATGGTAAATGACTATCAATTAGTTTTATTATCCTCTTCAAGACAATATTATCCTCGGGGTCATTGGCTTCCCAGCCGAGTAGAGACTCGAGCGTGCGCATCTCTGCAGAGGATGTCGCCTAAAACAAGTAAACAACGATACTTTAGAATCTTAATCCGTTAGCTTAAGCCTTCGTGATAAGATAGAAATTGGTCAAATAATTCAGTAAGTATTGATAAGTATAGTTCGTTTATAATATTGATTCGTACGGCTCAAAAGTTTGACCCTTACGGCTCGCAAGTTTGGCCCACATGGCTCACAGAATTGATCCGTGTGGACTGTGATTTTGACACATACGGTTTGTGAAATCGGCCCGTACGGTCCACCAGATTGACCCGTTTGGCCCACCAGATTGACCCGTACGGCTCGTAATTTTGACCCGTACGGCTCGTAATTTTGACCCGTACGGTTCGTAGTTTCGGCCCGTGCGGCCCACATATTTGAGCCTTTAATAGTTACGGGTTGTAAGGTTATATCCACAAGCTTACTAGATCAAATCGTAGGATTCGCTTGATAAGGATAAGCAGATCGCAAATCTGGGCTGTGTGGCACGCAGATTAGGAATTTAGTATATGACATAACTCAATCCTCGAACGAGGAGAGTGAGTGAAACAATAATACGATTACTAAAATCATATAAAAAACATTGTATAGTCTGTGTGTAGGACATATACAATATTAATCAGATAAAAACTAGAATAAAAATGAACCTAGGTAAATAAAATATTACAAGCACTTACGAATATGTGATTAACTTACCATGATATAAAGTCAATCCGTAAACAAACATAACACTGTCGATCACAAAGTTAATAAGTATTATGATCTCGAACGAACACTCGTCGTTAAATTGCGCAGCAAAGTGACACGCGTGCATCGCGGGTCAATTGAAAGCGTACTGAGGAACACCGGGCTCTTGCCGCCCGCGCACCCCTGGAAGGGTACGGGGAGCGAGTATAGAGCGCGGCTAGACGGCACGGGAAGCTATGACACGTATGTATCAAGGGATAAATTGAAGGATGTAATCTCACAGGTCAAGCCGACGGCACAGACCATGAAATATCATAGATTGAAATTTTATTCATTCTGGTTACACATATATAATTTTTTAAAAGGGTAGATTAATTATAAATAAATAATATTAAATATTAAGAGAGGGGGGAGCGTTACAATATCAATGACATGTTGCAAACATAACAAGACGACAGCACTGGTGATGCTTTATACACCAGCCGTGCCAATATTTCTCGGGAAAACGTCGCAGAGTACCGGGACAAACCTGTGTCTGAAGTCGAAACTTATTTAACAAAGTCGGACTGTGGGGCGACTAAACTAGTCCAGTTTAATCCCCAGAAGACACAAGTTTGCGCGTTTACCGCCAAAACAAACCCTTTTGTCCTATCTCCTCAGTTTCAAGGTACTCCCCTTGTTGCCTCATCTAGTATCGGAATCCTCGGCGTCGTCATATCGAGTGACGTGCAGTTTCGTGGTCACTTGGAAGAGAAGACCAAATCGGCCTCTAAAAACCTTGGCGTGCGCAGCAGAGCGGGACAGCATTTCATGCCGGCTCACCGCCTGCAACTTTACAAGGTGCAGGGTCGGCCTCACATGGAATAGTGTTCCCATCTCTGGGGCTCTCCAGTGCCAACTCCTTCCATTTGATCGCGTCTAGCGCAGAACTGTTCGAATCGTCGGCAACCGAGCCCTTTCCGATCGGCTTGACTCACTGGCACTGCGAAGAGATGTTGCATCTCTTTGCGTATTTTATCGCATCTACCACGGGGACTGCTCTGAGAAATTGTTCGGACTAATTCCAGCCACACAATTTCACCATCGCACATCGTGACAAAGCTCACGATACCACCCATTCCATCTGGATGACTGGCGGTCCACCACCGTGCGATTTAAAAGAGATTTTCTTCCTCGCACAACTTCCTTGTGGAATCGACTACAACCAGAGATTTTTCCGGACCGATACGACTCAGGGACCTTCAAGAAAAGAGCCTACTCCTTTTTAAAAGTCCGGCAAGGCATCTGCAATTTCCCTGGTGTTGCAGTTGCTCATAGGCGGCGGTAATCACTTATCTTGTGAGCCGTATGTTCGCCCCCTTATCTTTCAATCTCCAATCAATATAATATCCTTATCAATCAACCAATCAATATAATATTCTGTATTGTACACCAAAACTCATTGAAACAAGATAAAATGACAAAGGAGGACACTGAGGATTCTGAAAACAAAACAGCGATTTCTTTAATAAAATTTCTCTTGGAAATGTGATACTGAAATTTCGCTATTTTCCCTTATTCATTATAAAATGAAACATAAGTATAAATATTCTATATTTATTCTTATTAGTTATATTATATTTATTTATATTTATATTATATTCCTGAAACTGTCGCTGGTCCCGAACGAATCGAAAATACGAATTGAATAATTAGCAACTTACTAACCTAGCTTGGAAGCTTTACCATAAGAGGAACCAAGCGTCAAGCGCCATTTCGAACTAAGCTAGCTGCTAATTTTCACTATCACATTTCCATTTATCACGCAATATCATTATTACTTATAACAATATCACTATACAATTAAGCTTTGCATGAAATATAATATAAACACATTACAATAATAATTAAAACATTAACATCACATTAAAGAATAATAAAACATTAAACAAAATATCACAATTTTACAAGCTATTGGAGTCATATATCTTAAATAATGACCTAAAACTTTATTAACACAATGTTTAAGCAATACAATACATGAATGTCGTATACAATATAACAATTTCAAACGTAATGATTTATTAAATTTACGCGAATACTAGATACACATTGAATAAAACTATATTATTTATGTATTTTAACGCGTTTAATAACTTTTTTAACTAATTTTTTAATTATAAATAATTAAAAAATTAAAAAAAATACAATCTGTAAACACTGGAAACAGACACAATCTAGAAGAGCGTGATTCCACAAACTCAGTTATTCATTCTTAGGGGCAATGTATACTACAACAAAAAAGCGTTAGCGCTTTTACAACAAACTCGTGTAAAATAAATTATACAAAATGTGTATACCGCCGAGTTCAAAACCTTTATTAAAGACGATTGTATAAAAGGGTTTGTTATAATATAAAAGAATTTCGGAGTGACAATATCCCTGGGGATGAGTTAACCAAGCTATTTATTATTTGTTTTGTGTAATTAATTATTTGTATAACAAAGGTAATTTAAGATATTAAAAATTATTCCTTAAGGTTTCTTGCTGGTTTTTTTCTAAGCCAGAGTTCTTTTTCGAACCAAAAATTCTGACTGACTTTCATTGCTGAATTACTTAAAATCTATTTTGAATTAATAAATATTTTTATTAAATTGTATTTATTTATTATAAACAACACACAAAAATTCGTTCTTTGATTGTTTGTGTTGCGAAGAAATACTCAATAAAATTTTTCCTTTATTCTTTATAAAATACTGAAGGGCAAAACATTTCCGAACTCTGACGATAGCACATTTCAGGATAAAATTAATTCATGTTGCCACATATTTCGATTGGGATATGTGTAATAACGTTTTGTGGAATATGAAATATAAATTAGGCCGTATTGTGAAAAGTAAGGGTTTTCACGTTTCTGTATATTTATCCCATGTATCTCTGTGTTTTGACGTTTATTCATTTTTAAGTTAATTACGCATCCTTATTTATGAGGGTATATTTGGGACAAAGATGAGTCAGTATGCTGCTATAAGCAGGTTAGCCAACTTGACGTATTTTTTTTTTTGCGCCTGAAGCAAATATGGGCAACCCTCCGGAAAGCGGGGGGAGGGAGGTTGGGAATGCTCATAGCATACCACGCAGCCGGCTGCGTGGTTATGTGGTGACTTTTACCCACTAAACCCAACCTTTTAGTAATTGGCTTAACTATCTGACTAGAGATCTCTAAGCCGTATACGAACGCGACCCTCCTTGGCAGAAAGGAGGGCGCAAGCGGCGAAAAGCCGCTTAGAAGAGTGCCTAACTAAGGCAGATTAGGGGATGTGTTATGTAGGCTCGGCCTGAGCCGCCAGGAGGCAGTTCAGGTCAGCCGAAAGCTTTTTGGGGGGGTCCGAGAGAGAGTTTCTCGGTCTGCGCACACTATAGCGAATGTGGATAGGGGCTGCATAGGCAGCTGTCTCACGAATGAGATGATTTGGGTGGGACTCTGAGGCTTTGAAAAATCTCTCAGAGAGTGATTTAAGGAACTGCTGGATTGTTGGGAGCTCTAAGTCTCGATGTAGGTCGGCATTACGGTATGTCCGTAATGGGGCGTAAAGGGCGAGTTAGTGGCCCTACGACAGAATAGATTTTGAACTATTTGAAGTTCATTTATAGCTTTGGGCTTAGCATGTGTGAAAATGGGGGCCGCGTAGGTCATGAAAGGTCGTATGCAGACCTTATATAGGGTTCGCTTGTTGCTGAGGGACATTTTACTGTGTCTGCGCAGCTTGCTGTTGAGCCTACCCATGTAAAAACGTGCGGTGCGAGTAACCTTCTTGATATGGGGCTCGAAAGTGAGCCTTGCATTAAGGGTGACGCCTAGGTATTTGGCTTTAGTTTGCCATGGGACAGGGGTTCCTAACATCCTGATTGGCGGAGTGGTGGTGAGACGACGTCGTTTATATTCGAAGCAAACGGCGGAGCTTTTCTCCGGGTTTACGTCGTTACGCCATTTTTGGAACCAAGCTTCTAAGTCGCTTACTGACTTTTGGATCTTGTTCCGAATCTGTGGTAGTGAGTTGCCTTTAGAGTAAAGGGCTGTGTCATCTGCAAAGAGGGCTAGTTTAACACCATTCGACGGGATAGGGATGTCGTTGGTGAATAGTATGTATGTAGTAGGGGAGCAAGCACAGAGCCTTAAGGGACACCGGCTTTTATTTGACGGGTAGAGGATAGCGTGCCTTCGTGTCTAAAACAAAAGGTACGATCCTTCAGATAGGAGGCTACAAGGCGAACGAGACGGTCCGGGAGGCCTAAGTCGTACAGTTTGTAGATAAGGCACTCGTGCCAGACTCTGTCGAATGCCTTGGCAATGTCAAAGAAGACCGCGATGGTTTTTTGACGGCGAGGGTAAAAACCGCTGAGGATGTATTCCACTATGCGGTGAACTTGTTGGGGGCACGAGTGTTTGGCTCGAAACCCGAATTGTTGCGGGATGACAAGAGGGTCGCCGTCTGTGGGAAACAAATGGCGTCTCAAGCGCACGAGAATGACTCGTTCGAAAAGTTTGCCCATGGCCTTGAGGAGGCTGATGGGACGGTGATTGGAGGGGGAGGTGGTGAGGTTTGCCTGGCTTGGGAATGCCAATGACAGTTGCCTCTTTCCAAGAGGTGGGAAAGTAACTGAATTCGAAGCAGGCGTTAAAGATAATGGCCAGTAAGGCGATTACC